CCCAATCTGCAAATGCAATCCTCATTGCTTGTGCTCAGGTGCTCTAATTGATGAAGTTCGAAAGGATCGCGAAATAGATCAAATAATTCGTTTCTTGCAGGGATTAAATGATGATTATAATCCTTTGAAGTCCAGCGTTTTGGTTCTAGATCCTCTGCCCGAAATTCACAAAGTGTATGTGATGGCGGAAAAGTTTGAAAGGCAACTCAATATCAACAGTTTGAACCTAGAAACCAGCCATGCCAACTTCATCCAAAGCAGTCCGAAAGCAACAGAAGAAGTTGTTGCAGCAGTGAATCAGTACTATGGCAAAAGAAACATGAATTCTGGTGGAAACAAGAGTGCAAAGTGCACGTATTGTGGCATGACGGGGCACACCGTCGAGAAGTGTTACAAAAAGCACGGCTACCCACCGGGATGGGTGCCGGGCTACAAATCGAAAGGGAAGCAATCTGCCATGGCTGCCCCTACTGCTGGTTCCAATCTTGATACTGCCTGCTCCAATCTTGAGAATAACATTGCTTATGAGCAGATACAGAAGCTGATTTCACTTCTACAGACACAGATGGGGCATAATCAACCGCCAATGAGTGCTGCTGTTTCATTGGTCCCAAAATTTGACAAACCAGAAGCACAAAATGCAGGTAAGTCTCATACTGTTTCTCATGCTATCAATTTTGTTAATCTTGACTCAACAACTTGGATCCTTGATTCGGGAGCAACTGATCATATAGTTTGCTCTCGAGAATTCTTTAATGTTTGTCATGTTGTTGAAGGAGCAAGGGTAAATCTACCTAATGGAGAAACAGTCATAGTACAACATATGGGAGATATCAAACTGGGAAAGGAACTTTCGCTACGAAATGCCCTGCACATCCCACAGTTTAAGTTCAATAAAGTCTCAGTAAGCAAGCTCATCAAAGATTCCTCTCACACTTTAATATTTGATTATGGACAGTGCCGGATTCAGAGCCATGGGAGAACAACTGGTTTTGCTAGAGAGGATAGAGGCATATATCTGCTGCTTCAACCACCAAAAATCAGCTTACATAGCAACTCTATTGTGCAATGTAACAGTGTTGTGGCTACCATTGAGTTGTGGCACAAACGTTTAGGGCATTTCCCCTTTAATAAAATTCATCTCCTTTGTGATATTCCCAACTCTCAGTCAAAAATGGATCCATGTGATGTATGCCACTATGCTAAACAAAAACGCCTCCCATTTCCCTTGAGCAGCACATCATCAAAAGCCATTTTCGATCTAATTCATGTTGATATTTGGGGCCCGTTTCCAGTGAAATCTATGGGAGGGGAGAGGTATTTCTTAACTATCGTAGACGACTATTCAAGATACACTCGGATTCATCTCATGAGAAACAAGTCTGAGACCCGAGAAAAGTTGAAAAATTTTCACAAGCAGATACATACTCACCATGGCTTAGCTATTAAAACTCTGCGTAGTGATAACGGAATGGAGTTCAACTTGGTGGATTTCTTTGCTGAACATGGCATCATTCATCAAAGGTCATGCGTCCATACACCCCAACAAAACGCGGTGGTTGAACGTAAACACCAACATATCATGAGTGTGGCAAGAGCTCTTCGATTTCAAGAAAAATTACCTCTTGAATTCTGGGGATTATGTGTAATGCATGCTGCATTCATCATCAACCGGCTTCCTTCTTCAGTGACTGATTGGATTAGTCCCTATCAAAAACTCTATGGAGAGAAACCGACCCTTGAGAACATCAAGATATTTGGATGCTTATGTTATGCAGCCACACTGCCTAATCAGAGACACAAGATGGCTTCACGCAGCAGGCGATGTGTCTTTGTTGGTATACCTGCACATGTCAAAGGTTATTTGGTGCACGACATGCAGGACAACTCGACGTTTATATCTAGGGACGTCATCTTCTATGAAGACTACTTCCCCTTAGCTGAGCAGAGTGAGATGGCAGAAAGCAAGCAAGCATTCAAGCCATCTTTGCCAAATGTATCCATTGATGATACTGCAGAATTCATGCTCCCAGATTGTCATATCATTCATGAGATGCTTCTTGGGTCCATTTCAAACACTCCTAACAGCAGCAGCTTGAGTCCATCACACAATTCTGAAAGCAACACCAATGTAGCCAGCAGCCCTGATGGCAACACCAATGTCCATCACACATACATCTGCAATGAACCTCCACTACATGAAGCCAATGATGAAGCTAGTGAGGTAGCAGAACCAATATCTTCTCCTGATTCAGTAGATCATCCAAGGAGATCCAGTAGATCACGAAATTTTCCAACAAAATTGCATGACTACTATTGTGATGCTACAGTGGCTACCAAGACATCACCCCACTCCATGTACAAGGTGATATCTTATGCTAATCTTTCATCTTCACATAAGATATTCTCCATGGCAGTCTCTTCTGTGAAAGAGCCAAGAACTTATGGCCAAGCAGTCACTCATGACTGCTGGAAAAAGGCCATGAATGAGGAAATTATAGCCCTCCAAAACAACAACACATGGGAGCTGACAGAATTGCCTCAAGGAAAGACACCGATTGGATGTAAATGGATTTTCAAGACTAAACTCAATGCGGATGGCACAATAGAGAGGCATAAAGCCAGATTAGTAGCGAAAGGCTGCACCCAACAGTTTGGTGTGGATTACATCGAGACGTTTTCACCAGTGGCTAGGTTGACCACCATACGCACATTCATAGCAGTGGCAGTTTCTAAGGCTTGGAATATACATCAAATGGATGTTAACAACGCGTTCCTACATGGTGATCTTAATGAAGAGGTATACATGGTTTTACCACCTGGATTTCAAAGCGTAAAACCAAATCAAGTTTGCAGGTTATTAAGATCTTTATACGGTCTTAAGCAAGCTAGTCGTCAATGGAATGAGAAACTCACTGCTGCACTCATCAAGATTGGTTTTCACCAGTCCAAATCCGAGCCTTCTTTGTTCACAAAAGGAGCTCATGATGATTTTGTTGCTCTATTAATATATGTTGATGATATAATTGTGGCCAGTTCCAGCTTATCAGCCATCAATTCAGTCAAGCAATTCCTGGACAGCAAATTTAAGATCAAAGATCTAGGACCCCTTGGCTATTTTTTGGGTATTGAAGCCTGCAGAACAAATGATGGATTAAACCTCTGCCAGGGTAAGTATGCGCTGGACATTCTGGAAGATGCAGGGTTCTTAGATTGCAAGCCGGCAAGCACTCCCATGGCTCAAGGATCAAAACTCTCACATGGTGATGGAACTCCTTTAGCCGATCCTAGTTGCTACAGAAGATTGGTCGGTCGAATGCTTTACCTCACGGCCACTCGTCTTGATATTGCCTATTCTGTGCAACAATTAAGCCAATATGTTGATTCTCCTACAGAGAATCATTTGTTGGCTGCACACCGAGAGTTGCGATACATAAAAAGCTCCCCAGGGCAAGGATTGTTCTATCCAGCCAATACTCAACTCGATTTAAAAGTCTTCTCCGATTCGGACTGGGCAGCATGCAATGAAACAAGAAGATCCATTACTAGATATTGTGTCTTTCTGGGAGAAGCACTGATTTCATGGAGAGCTAAAAAGCAGCTAACAGTTTCAAGATCTTCATCCAAGGCCGAATATAGAGCCTTGGCAGCCACAGCTTGTGAAGTACAATGGCTAGCTTATCTCCTGCATGATCTGGGAATCACCCTTCACAAACCTGCCACATTGTTTTGTGATAGTAAATCCGCGGTTGCCATTGCCAAGAACCACGTGTTCCACGAGCGCACCAAGCATATAGACATCGATTGTCATGTTGTTCGAGAGAAATTGAACCAAGGGCTCATCAAGCTGCTGCCAATTTCATCTGCAAACCAGATAGCAGATGGATTTACTAAACCTCTGGCCATCCCTCAATTCCGGCAGTTTATGTCTAAGCTAGGGATACAAGATTTGTATGCCCCAGCTTACGGGGGGGGGGGGGGGTATTAGACAACACAAAATGAAATCAAGAAGGGCTCAATTGTCTTTATCCATCTCATTCTGTTATAACGGCCTTTGGCGCCTGTTTTAGTAGTCGTATATTAGCTCTCCTAAACTGCCTAGAGAGGCAGTTAGATCACTCATCATCCTCTGTAATCAACTCTCCCTCTCAATGCAAAGTTACTGTTTCATCGCATAGCTCAACTTCCATCACAGCTGTGTGGACCACGATCCATGCAATAACTATTGGTCAACTAAACCAATAATTTTATTGGTCAAATTTTTCTCCTAATATTTTTTCTATGATGACATGATGTCCCTTACAATCATTTGGTGCTCATTAATTGAGTGGGAATCTGTGAAGCGGGTAGAATTTAGAATAATAGCTTGCATTGTTACTTATGAATTTATGATAGAAATCATAATATGTATTATAGAAATTAATATCAATTTGAAAAAATAAATTGTTACTTATAATAGATATTGTAATATTTATATGTGAAATTGTGATACTAGTTAGACTAAAATGATTGTTACTAATGATAAATATTGTAATACTTATAATTGAAATTGTGATACTTACAAAGTGTAATTCTAATATAAATATTGCAATACTTATATGTGAAATGTTATTTATGATAGAAATTGTAATACGTATTGTAGAAAGTTTAATACCAATTTAAATTAAAAATAAATCGTTACATATGATAGATATTGTAATAGTTATATGTGAAATTGTGATTCTATTTAGGATAAAATTGATTGTTACTAATGATACATATTATTATTTATTATAATACTTATAACTAAAAGTCAAAAATTGTGATACTTACAAATTGTGCCTTCATTGAACTATCTCACCCGCTTGTCTACACCTCGACCCATATTATGGAGAAGGATCCGTGAGACGGTCTTACACAAGTTTTTGTCATGCATCATTAGCTAAAAAGAAAATTAATTACCTAATTAAAAATACCATGTAAGGAGGGGAAGATTGTGTGAGAAAATTTTGGAGGGTGGGTAGCTTACTCTGGTTATAAATATTAGATGAAGAAGAGCAAGCTAATGCAGCTACGTTGAAGTTAAAGAGAATTCATCACTATTAATATTGTTGATGAGATAGATCAAAATATTTTTACAACTCTTAAATCCACCTAGCAAGCCTTAAATAATTGCAGCAGATTATATTGTTCATTCATAGATGCAATACAAGACAGTATGTAATATAGTAATCTATAGCCTATTCAAATTAATTAGCAGCTTTAGAGTTTTTCTTTGCAATAGCTTTGCATCATCTACTCCTCATCTTCATCAAACTCGCCTTCATCGGAGTCATCTTCAAGCTAGAGACCGGAGGTTACGTTGTCATGAATCAATGAAAACAAATTAGGATGTGATGAAACTAAATGAAGTTGGTAGAAAAATTAAAGGAGACTGAAATAAAAAGCAATTGAGAAAATGAAATGGAGATTGATTGAGAGACCTGAATTTACTTGGCTGACTCCATGACAACCATATATTTCTCAATGACAACCATATTTTGGTTTCCATAGTCATGCTGTTCAGCCTGAATTTGCTTTGCTGACTCCACTGCAGAAGGATGGCACTTCTCTAATTGGATTAAGTTCAATGTTGGAATTTCTGCAAAGCTATTCGGGATCTCTCTCAATTTATAGCAATCTTCAAGGAATAGGTGCTCAAGTTTTGGAAAATTATCAGCACCAACTTCCAAATGCTTGAGATTAACAGACCGAATTTGCAAACAAATTAAGTGGCAGAATTTCACATTCTCTGGTACTTCCCACTTTTCTCCAAGCTCACAATACCTTAACTTGAGCACCTCAAGCCTTGGTAACTTGCTCAAAACATTAATTACCTCCCACTTAGATTCTATAAAATCAAACCTCAGCTTCCTAATGTTTTTCAAGAGAAGAATATTGTTAATGATTTGAGCCATCCTATCCGGAATTACATAGGTAGAGGTCCATGTTCTAACCCAAAGAGACAAACTCTCAAGCTGCAGTAAACAGACAAGGTCCTTAGTGCAATCATTGGTTTTGCTTATAATAATAGATACCTTCTTTAGGTATGGAACTTTAGTTAAGGACTCTTGGTCGCAATCATTAGACAGCAATCCAGAAATGACCTGCAAGTTTCGATGAACAGATTTGGGCAAATCATAAAGTACACGACAGCTAATATACTGTACTTGTGGAAGCTTCAAATCCTTCAATCCTGCAGACACACTAAATGTTTGAAGATTCCAAGCTTTGGAGACTAATGAATCAAGAGGATCAAAGTCCCGGAATATCTGTAGGTATCTCAAATGGATATGAACAGTCGGACTTGGCGAACGGAATTCAGTAACATAGAGTACCCTCAATAAGCTGAAAAATACCAAACTTATTGAATGATATTTGTGCCACTCCAGAAAATAAAAGATGGACCGGCAGTGTTTTGACAGAGAAAGTAACGCAGAGATGCCAAAATCTTGAAATGACACCCTTTGCATTCTTATCCAACGGACACCTTTCTCAGGGAAATTGCAACCACTCTCGTCGGCAACATACAAAAGACACTGGTTCTGACCTTCTCTTACACAAAAGGCATGCAATAAATCATGTACTTTAAACTCTTTAATTTTTCTTCCACAACTACTTCTTGTGCTTACAAGAATTAAGTTTCTATCCATAAGTTCATTTATGTACCTTTTAGCCACCGCTTCAAAACTCTCATTCTTAAATGCCTTTACAAGTCCTTCCGCAGCCCATAACCTTGCAAGGTTGTTAGCATTGATCTTATAATCTTCTGGAAAAACTCCTAAATATAAAAAGCAAGCTTTCAAATTATGGGGCAAGTGACTATAACTCAATGAAAGGATTCTCCAACATTCTTCATCATCTAGAGTTGATGTTGAAGAACTTATTAGAGCATTAGCAGTATTCTTCCACTCAACTAGTGTATTGAGTTTTGAAAATAAACCTGCTACCACAACAATTGCTAACGGCAGTCCGTTACATTTCTCAACAATTGGTCTCCCAATTGTCTCAAATTCAACACTGTGAGATTTGCATGCCTTTTTATGAAATAATTCCCAACTTTCACTCTGATCTAATAAGTGCATTTGATGGGAGAAGTAATTGTTAGAGCCAATATAAGTAGCCACCTCTGCAACGCGAGTAGTCAACAATACTCGACTCCCATTTATATCGTCTGGAAAGCAAGAGTTAACATCATTCCATGACTCTATGCTCCATACATCATCCATCACTACGAAGTACCTTTGACCCTTCAAACTTTGGTAGAGTTGTAATGCTAGATCCCCATCATCGCTATTGTTTACATTGTCTTTAGAACCAAGAAGATCTAAGAGCATTTGCCTCTTATTGTGATGTTGTGATACAACAACCCATAATTGTCTGTCAAAGTTGGAGACAATTGATGGATTTTCAAAAACTCGTCTAGCTAATGTTGTCTTGCCGATTCCTCCCATACCTTGAATTGAGACAACTTCTCGTTGTTTAGATGGATGTTGTATTAGCATTTTCATTATAGTATCGAACTCATTGTTCTTCCCGACCATTATGTCCTCAGTGTGTGAAGCATGATTGGAAGAACCGGAACTGTCCATCTTGACAAGTTCATCATCAGATTTTGGAATAACATCAAGTGTAGTCTTCCTTCCTTGCGCAGCTATGTCATGCTTGTACTCCATCATGACTTTCTCCACCTCTTCTTTAATTGCATCAATGTCTTCTATTGATTGTTGCAATACATGACTAAGTCTATGAGAATGCTGAGTTTTTTTGGCTTCAGTGTCCTCTTGTCCCATTTCCTGGTCAGCTTCTTTACAGAGATGTACCACATAGAGTTCAATTTCATCTTCTACTCTGAAAGCTACATCTCTGAGCTCTGTTTCCAAGTCTTTAATTGCTTCAACACCATCCATTCTGAACTCGTCGAACAGTTGTATGAGAAAACCAAGCTTTGCATGGAGAGATTGGATGAGGTCTTTGTTAAAAGGGATGAGTTCCAATTGTTGTAGGAATGGACGAGGGTGAGGTTGCAAGAACTCAAGCTCTAATGTTCTGATAAGAGAATTTACAGCTACACAAGCCATTCTTTTCTCTCTCTATCTCTATCTCTGTTGGTATAGGTGTGAAGATTAGCAGATGAGTGGAATTGGGTAATGGCACAGATCTGATTATTTTATTTTATTACTTTTTTTTTTCCACCAATCAATCAAATAGCCAAAGACTATTGACATGACTAAATTCTGATTGATCTGAATTAGTTTCATCTCGAAAAATAAGAATATCAATGCTGTATTATCTTCTAATTTGCAAATTTCATACGGCCCGTTTGATTCCTGCAATAATTGCCACTGATCTGATCACTGCAATAATTCCTTGCCGACAGCTTTCTTTAACCTTTGCTTTCCAGCTCTAAAGTTTCCATTATTGGTGCAATAATTCAAAATTAGGCATGGCCTACTACTTATTTTATTTTATTTTTTCCACCAATCAATCCAATAGCGAAAGACCATTAGCCTGACTAAATTTCGATTGATCTTAATTAGTTTCATCTCGCAAAATGAGGGCAAATTATGTTATGCATCCGTATGCACCATGCATGGTGCATACGGATGCAAAAACGACGTCGTTTTAATAAAACGCGTGTCTCCCCTTAAAAAAAAAAAATCAGGTTCGATTCCCAGCAACAACATATGAACTAAAATTCTATAATCGATGAACTATAATTCTATAATCTATGAACTATAATTCCATAATCTAATCTATGAACTAAAAATTCCAGAATGAATGAACTAAAATTCCATAATCTATAAACTAAAATTTCAGAATCGATGAACTACAATTCCGTAATCGATGAATTATAATTCCATAATCTATGAACTAAAATTTCAGAATGAATGAACAATATAATGTTGTTGCTGGGAATCGAACCTGAATTTTTTTTAAAGGGGAGACGCGCGTTTTTTAATAAAACGACGTCGTTTTGACATCCGTATGCACCATGCATGGTACATACGGATGCACAGCATAACGATTGCAAAATGAGAATGAGGAATTTTACATAAACTCTCAAATCTTACTTCTATTTTTTATTCTCTATAATATAACATGCCTTGATTGCTTAATATATTAGGGGTCATGATATTTATCCATTTCTTTTCTTCCTCGAATCAAATTTGAACATAAGTGGAAGTATGTTTTTGGGAGTACATGAAGTATTTTTTTTTAATGAGAATATCAATGCAGTATTATCTTCTAAATTTGCAAATTTCATACGGCCCGTTTGGTTCGCCGAAAATATTTGGAGAAGAATAGAATTGAAATTTCATGGAAAATAAATTACAGAAAAAACTAATAACATTATTTGGTTGGTAGAAAAGAAATTACTAAGAATATTGAAACCACTATTTGGTTAGATTTGGAATTGTAAGAAATAATGAATATAAAGACCAATATATCCCTCCACAATAATAAAAATAAGGGTAATTAAGAAAAATCAATGAGGACAAAAGTCACACTTGTTTTCTATGGACAACAAAATATCGGAAGTGTTTGGTTTGATGGAAAACTTTTTTGTAAGGAAAATTAAAAGATTTCCCTAAATTTGAGGAAGATATATTTTCGTTCATTTAATTCATTCTTCCAAAAGGTTAAACCCCAACCCTAAGGGCCCTCCACACTCCGACCTAACAGAACATTTGGGAGGACGTTCAGTTAATTCATGACTTATATATGACTATTCTGCCTTTGCAATTCATTCTTACGTTTATTATCATTAATTCATTATTATTGTGTATGAATATATAGGTCTTTATACTCATTATTATTTAAAATTGTAAATCAAACCAAATAATGGGATCAATATTTCTAGTAATTTCTTTTCCATCAATCAAATATTTAAATCAATTTTTCCTAGTAATTGCTTTTCCATGCAATTTTAATTCCATTTCCCTCAATTATTTTTCACAAACCAAACGAGCCCCAAGAGTGAGTTAAGGAAAACTTTTTCTCATTCAGTCATTCTTGAGAAAAACTTTTTCCAATAGAAAATATTTTACTAAATAAATGTACATTTTTAATATACTAAAAGTACATTATTTATATATTAAATATACATTATTTGATAGTATACAAAATAATATACTTTCAGTACTCAAATAATATATATACTTTATATACATAAATAATGCACATTTTATTTGTGATTCATACAACTGTGTGGACCATGATCTATCCAATAATGACTCCCCAAACAATGCCATGGCCTGGAGTGGGTAGGCATGACCCAGTCTATATTTTTTGTTTGCTTAGCCAAGTTCAACTAAACATTTGATTTTTTGTCTTAAGAAAAAACATTTGATTTTGCGTTTTAAAATTGTGAGTTTCAGCTAGCCTAGCTCATTATCTATATCTATATCTATATTCTATATCTCTATATCTCTATCTCTATATACACGGCTGGAAATCAGCAGATTTTCGATCACCTGAAAATGATCGAAAACGCTTGTTCCGACCTCTTTTCCGACCAAATTGGGTATCCGAAAAAATCCACCTCGCTATATCTGACAACCGGAGAAGTGCTCGTAAATAGCAACCACTTTTCTAAGCCCGTCGAAAAAAATGACCAAGAGGATAGTCGACCGGGTCCAGATTTTCCGACCACTATGGTGGTCGGAAAACGGTATGTAGTTAATAAAAAAAAATTCATTTCACTACAGAGGAATCCTCTGTAGTGAAATGAATATATATATATATATATATATATATATATATATATATATATATATATATATATATATTGTTGCAAGCTGCAGAAATAAATTTAAGGTAAATATCCATGTTTCCAGTGGTGGACTTCAGCAATCTGTGTTGTGGGATAACACATTTCAATTACGAAATTAAACTATTAAAGCACATACACAAGTTTCGTTAGTATTTGCAAGTATGTGAATAAATTTAAGGTAAATATCTAAAAACTGATCAACAAACTCAGACATCACTAATCAATTTGACCATGGCATACCCTCATAATGTTTGAAGAGACAACGTTAAGTTCATACAGACGACAAATCCCAATGCTCTGTAATAGAAGACAACTCAAAATTATCTTTCAAAGACATGCACACTCCAGTACAAAATTCATCTATCTCTAAAATTATGTTTTTCTTATTGGGGATAGGGCTAAAACTGTATGCAAAAGAGGTGCAGATGAGAAAAGAAAGAACTCAATGTTGGACCTTCAGTAGAACTTGGGCCTGTTGTACAGGCTGTTTGTACAATAGATTTTCCAACAAGCTGATTCCAAGCTTCATATATACATGATGTCAGATAAATTGGTGCAATCTGTAATTATGTCAAGGTATTTAGGAAAAGACACAGTACTGTCAATAACATAACCAAAAGCTTTAAAACAGTTAGAAGAAATGATAAAACAAGACCATCAAACATCTTTACAACTCTCATGTCTAAGTTTTTGCCATCAACAATTTTAGAGTATCTGAAAGGTTGTAGGCAATATGCGTGCTATGCTAATATAACTATATCACAAATTCTTGTACTTCGATGTCTTAAAATTAGCCAGTAGGTCCGCAATATACGCATTGTCATCTAAGCCAACGTATTCCTCTACTTAAGAAGACAGCTTGTTACTGGACCAATGTTCAAATAAACTAAAATAAAATAAAACGGAACATCATATGCAAAATGGTGTTGGAAAAGGTTACCATTTCCTGGCTCCGGCGACTTAGAACCATTGGCAACCTTTCGACATTCAAATTGGGTAAAGCTAGAATAAGCTGACAATTTGATTATCCCTGCAAGATTATACCAAAATTTAAGTTCTGTTTACTCATCATATGCATTTAAAAACAAAAATTAAACAATATTTCCTTCTTTTTTCGTCTTCTTTAGATTATACCAAAATTTTGTTTTCAAATTTTGTTTAATTGGTTGAAAACAAAATTTTTCCTCTTCTTAATAACTATTAAAGTCTTGGACAACAAAAGCTCCAAATAAAAGAAGGCACTATTATCAAGGTCAAATGAAAGCAATTTCTCAAGTATAAACAAAAGGCAATTGTAGCTCAAACCTTGGATATAGTAAGCTAAATACTCTCCTATTACTAATGAGATTTATTCAAAACTCATGTACCATGGAGTAGTAGGTTACCTTAGCCAAGCCTTTGATTGATTTAGCTGTCTCTTCAGAAAAGAACCTCTTCAAGACATTATATATAAAGTTGTCAAAGATTATAAACACTGGTTATGCAAGAGAATTAGCAATAAAAGCAATACACAAGATTTCATTATGACAAATTCAAATCAAAAGACTAATAAGTGACTCCCAAATTGGTTTGGGTTACCCCATCTAGAATTGTTAATACTTAATAGTATGAGATTGCTTGAGCTTACTTGAATTTCAGTATAAGCATAACAGGTCCAAAAATTTCATCTTTTGCAATTAGCATGTCATCCTGCATGAGGCAACAAAAGCATATATAGAATGTTTTGAATTCTCTACATATTGAAGATTTTAACTGCATCCATCTTTTTATGATTGAATTATAGTGTAGAAGGTTTTTACCAGACATCTGTAAATATAGTTGGCTGGATGAAATAGCCTTTTCTGTCCAGTGGCTTACCACCAGTTAGCAATGTAGCACCCTCCCTCTTCCTATGCTCTATATATGAAAGTATCTTCTCATACTGATTTCTGCTAGCCTAAATGCATCAAATAGACATGTATGTTAAAGCATATTGGTATTGGTAAACTTAATGGTGTATATAGCTTGTTTCAAGCAAACTAGATCATACTTAGGGTCCCTGTTGAACATTTGGATCAAAAGGGTCACCAACCACCTTTGCTTTCGCCTTTGCGACTACTTTCTTAACAAACTTGTCATAAATTCCTTCCTGGACAAACACTCGTCAGGAAGTCGCAAATATTTCACCCTGCCAAAATGCCAAATTAAAACCCCAATATCAATCAGTATATCTACATGCTAAGAGTTGAGGAAAGGAAACTTGGGATGAAGATTACCTTATTATATGTGACTCCAGCTAAACCAAGATCCGAAACCTTGTCAACATCTACATCATCAAAGACTATGAAAGGAGACTTGCCTCCCAACTCTAGTGAAACGGGTTTTAGATTGCTAGTTGCTGCAGCCTGCATTATCTTATACCCTACTTCTGTCGACCCTGTAAAACTAACCTGAGAGGAAATCATGAGACAAAAATTTTAGTTAAGAAAGAAGGCTAGCTATGGTTTTTTCTTTTCCATCTGAATGTTTACCTTCCTTAGCTTGACTGTTTAAGACATTTCTCTTTCATTGGGAATGTGTATTAAGGGAGATTACCTTATCAATGCCCATGTGAGAGCTAATGGCGGCACCAACAGTAGATCCAAATCCTGTAATCACATTCAGCACTGTTTGTAGATTGAGAAAAACATAGTCTTTAATTATATAAGAAGGGTAAGAAAAAAGAAAAAAGGAAATAAGATGAAGCTTACAAGCTTAGCCAAATGAGCATAATAGAGAGCAGAAAGGGTTGTCTGTTCACCAGGCTTGACAATCACAGTACAACCAGCTGTTAATGCGGCGGCAACCTTAAACCCAAATATTTGTGCCGGATAATTCCAGGGAATTATGAGTCCTACCACACCTATTGGTTCACACAATGTGTATGCTTAGAGCTCACTCGACATCTTGAGAGTGGTGCCATGGATTTTGTCTGCTGCACCAGCGTAGTAACGAAAATACCCTGCTGTTGAAGGCACATCTGCATACTAAGATGTGCACTAAAGTGCGCAAATGATGCTTCCATTTTCTGGATGGTCTCACAAATACTACGGTATTGCTCTTCCATATCCTTGTGCTGCTATTGCATTACTTCCCTTTCCTCACGCCACCAGTGGCCTCCAACCACACTGCTATTTCAGCCATTTCTAATTGTTTTTGCTTCAAGTGAGGCACAGTTTCCAAAAAAAAAAAAAAAGCATAATAAGACCACAAAAATTGGTGTATAACCATTATAAACTGTAAAGTGGAAAAAATTCTACTTCTACTTTTGTAGGTGTTGCAGATCCGAATATTCAAGCAAACAACATACAGTTCATTCATTCTTAATTTACAGCTATTAAACTAACAACATAAATACCTTAGCATCTGCTAATGAATGAAAAATCAAAATACCCCAACATCTGTCTATACTTGGGGATGAGAAAACTTCAGAACCTTACCATGTTTTCTCATGTTTCAAAAGATTAATAGTTTAGTCAAAGAAAGGAACCCCAAAAGTAATTTACAAAGTATAAGGATAAATTTAGATATTTTTTAAAAAATCGTTTAGAAGCAGATTGTACGTACCTCTACTTTGTCCCATGCTCCTTTTCTGACATCAGTTTTCAAATTTGAAACAATAGCAGAGCTAACTAACTGTCGATGCATGCCTATTTCAGTAATCTACAAATTCAAAAGTTGAGAACACCTATTTTGTTAAACTAATTAGACAACGAAGAGATTGAATAAAAGAATAACCAACCTTTCATGAACTGTCTTGCTTCTTCTTAAAACGCTGAAAAAAACATACCCGACTCTTGCTCATCGCCAAACAGATTAAAATGACTAGACGATGCTACTCGTCGCTCGTCGACCAAATGCTGCTACTCGGCACTCACAACCGGAGCTCGTTGACCAGATGTCAAATTAGAAAAGCTTGCCTTTCATTGGTACTTCAACAAGCATTCTAGAATTCCATGGTGGCCCGAGAAAGAAAGCCTTACAAGACACTAGAAATCAAAGCAAACCACTATAAAAAAAAAAAAATCAACAATATAAAAAGGAATACAACAACAAAACACTACAAAGACAGCAACCATCTAACAAGATAATGACAAGTGAATCTCTTCTGCTCTTCACCATCATTATAGTGAAAACATCATTTAAGACTTGTTTAGTTTAAAATGAATAACATTTAATTCTCAACTATCTATAAGGACTATGGAGGGCAAGCTGATATAGCAAGAAGCTTGATTAAGGATTAAGTGATTAACTAGGTTACACTTTAAGCTTTTATTAAAGCAATTGTGAACCGCAATCAGCATCAAATAAATGCAAAACAATTATGAGCCCTAACAAACTTGTAATCATCTTATTTAATCTAGAACGAAACCTCCCAACCTTAATATGCAAGTTCCAATGCATTACATATCTAAGCATTTAAATGCACAACCAAAAGTCATTTCACTTCATATATAGTGTGATGATATGGATGTCTCAACTGATCCTATTGAATCTAGTGATGAAGAGCAAGATATTCACTATTCACTGACTTTATCTTACGAATTTAGGGCTTAAATTATGATTTAGGGATAATGGAATTAGGAATTTAGGGATTAGGGTTTAAGATTAGAGTAATCGAAATATAGAACTAACCTGTAGCGCAGCAGAAATGGTGATGGCGACGAGCGACAGTGATGGTGACGAGTGACTTTGACGGCAAAGACCCAGGTGTGCTCTGCTAAAGAGACGAAGATCTGCTATTGGTGGGGGAGGCGGGAAGAAGCAACTAAAGCGATGGGAGATTTCTGACCAGAGATTTGGAGCGGAACGGCTTCTATGAATACAATAGATTTGCTGTGAGAGACTTGAGTGGAATAAGAAGAAGAGAGCGGTGTCTTCAAAAAAAAAAGGAAAGCGGTGTCTTTAAAAAAAAAAAGAAAAAAAAAAAGAGGAAGAAAGAAAGATAGCGGAGAATAAATTAGCTAGCATATGTATATATGTACTGTAAAGGTATTTCCGACCACAGAATGTGGTCGGAACAATGAATATCAATTTAAAAAATTTGAATGGCTAAAATATTTCAACATTTTTTCGTCCAGCCCAACCTTTTGACGGAAAATTAAAAAAATACCACCTTTCCCGACCCTTTTTGTGGGTGGTCAGAAAAGTGGTCAGAATTTAAACATTTTCCAGCCGTGATATATTAAAGCAAAATGGTTGGCACAAAAATTTCACCCCCAAAACTTAGGGGCATATTTGTCAAACCAAAATTCAAATTATTTTAATAAATTATTAATTATTAATTTTATTAATCATCCATATATTTTTTCATAAAATCATCCATTTTATTAATCATCCATATATATTTTCATAAAACCATCCATTTATGATTTTCAATCAAATAAATTCTCTAAATTATTTTAGTAAAACTATTAATTTCATTAATCATCCATATATATTTTCATAAAATCAGCCATTTATGATTTTCAATCAAATAAAGTTACAAATATATACATCCTCTATAAATAGGGTATAATGTGCATGGAAGAGAAAGCAGAATATGTAAATTACATAGCTAGAAAGGAAAGACGTTGTCACTCTCTCCCTCACAAACTTGTGGAGTTTTCTCTCAATCTCTTTCTTGAATTTGTGAGAGAGATGGAAAGAGCTTGCCTTCTAAAGAAGGGCCCTTGGTCTACCAAAGATGATTTACTGCTCACCAATTACATTTAGAAACATGTCTAAAGCCAGTGGAGATCTTTGCCCAATAAGGCCAGGCAATTGTCGCTTGAAGTGTTTTTAGTGCCGCTGGATCCAACCAATTGGGCGTTGATGGAGACCCTGGTAACATTGGCTACAAAGCTGATTTCGTAATTTTCCGGGGCCAAGGAAGGGCTTGCGTTTTTCTTATCGGAAATCAAACTCCTCTTCTCCTATATTCCTTCCAGTTTACTGGAATTAATTGCATTTACTGAAATTTTTCAATAAAATTGAAATTTGTACTTAATTCCATTTCTGACTTTAATTGTTTATTAATATAGGAGATTGTAAATGAAAAACAACAAAATCAACCCGAACTTGAACCAGCAACTATTTGGTATGAGGCAACAGGTGGCTTAAAGAAGGGAGGTTCTGTTTTTGGGTTTGGATCAAGTACCCAATATTACTTCCCCGAGGTGGCAAGGCGAAAAAAATCTACATATTGGTCATCCTCACATGCAGCTTGTGAGGAGAGAATTAAACAATTGGAGCAAAGCAACAAGGAGATTTTGGAGCAAAACAAGAAGATTATGGAGTTGTTATGTGGTGCACATCCGGAATTGTTACAATCTGTTGTTCCTACAACTCATAGCAATCAAAGTAGTGGTATTGGTTTAGATAATATCAATGTGAATGATGATACCCAATCTCCAGTGTAATCTCAATCTCCATACCAGTGTAATCTTTTGACTAAGTACTTGTGCTGTAAATGGTGGAAATATTTAGAATTGTAAAGTAGCTATTAATTTTTGAAATGTGAAGTAGCTACTTTTTTTTTGAAATGTGAAGTAGCTACTTTTTTTTTGAAATGTGAAGTTACATTACTATAAAATTGCTAGTTTTTGGTGATGTTACATTGTTATAAAAGTATATTTATTTTTAAAAAAATTATTATTGCAGGGTAAATTAAAAATAGTGAAATTCTTTTTATAAATAATTTATGACATTTAGTTTCCGACCACCAGTGGTCGGAAATCACAATCCCATAATTGTAAGGGATAGATATTTCCGACCAAATGGTGGTCAGAAAATTGCAATTCCTTATAGTCAACGAATTGTGATTTCCAACCATTTGGTGGTTGGTCGAAAATTTCCGACCATAAGATGGTCGGAAATACATGGTCAGCTTCCTTTCGCAAGTGACCAAAAATGTTTGACCACCTATTATTGTGGTCGGAACTTCCGTCCACTTGAGAGAGTGGTCAGAATTTCCGACGAGCGTTTTTCTGGGTCCCAAAAGTGGTCGAAAAACTAGTCGGAACAGTGGTTTCCGTTGTGATTATAGTGATTTCCGACCACTTTCGGGTGGTCGGAAAATTGCTGTTTTCCAGCCGTGAGTAGCCTATTTCGAAAATTCTAAGTATTGAGTATATTTATGTATCAAGTTTTGACCCAAAAAGTCAATTTGAGTGAAATGTAAGTCAAATGTTTTTACTTAGAAACATCCCTATAGGAAATCTATTTTATTACCAAAGATGTTTAAACCTATTTTATTACCTTAGGTTAGTGTAAAATAAGGAGCCTGATGATTCATAAGTCAATGGACCAAAATGCCCTTCTCAGCCAATATCTTACCTAGGGTTTCGTACCCTATATAAGCCACACTATTTGCCTCCTTCACTTTAAGCAAACAAAATCTTAGAAAGAGAAGAGAAAGCACAATAAGCTACTTCCCTCCATTCATTTTCATCTTCCTCCTTCCATTCATCTCCTGACAATCATCTTTCACCCTTCTATTTCATCTCTTCTATCTTATAGTGTATGTATGAGTTTGTGATGGGTGTTGTATGTGTTTATGTTATTGTTGGAGGAAATAGGAGCTGAGGGTGGAAGCCATTGTTGAAAGAAGAGGAGGGATTCACACTAGTGTTAGCAAAGCTCAAAG